GGCGCAGAAACCGCCTCTCACGATGGCGCACTTGGACCGCCACTTTGGCGTGCAGACTCAGAAAATAGTCCGATACTTGATTTGTATTGCATACAAGGTTTCTTGGACAAAATCGACAATAAATACGTATCACATGATATAATCGTCTGGAGGCATACACAACGCCAGCACACATGATTAAACACAAAATGTCACTTATGGCAAAGGTCGCGAATTCCCACACAATGATGCAGCGATATTGACCAGAGGGGGCGCGGACCAGCCGTCCCCGTTACTCGTTCTAGACTACACAATTATATGCATGGACACACAGAAACATAGTACAATAAATGCATCACAGATAATGAACAGCTGATTGTTTCAATGAGCTCGTGTCCGGGCAGGTCACATGCGCTCGGGCACGCGTTGCGCAGTTCCTTTGTTGATCAGAGCTGAATGCTGCGCTGGAGAGATGACGGGTCTACTTGCCGTAGCTGGGGTAGGCTGGCTTGGGGCACACGGTGACGTACTGGTTCTGGTTCTGGGTGCGGGTGACGGTGACGTACTGGTTCTGCGTCTCGGTCTGCGTGACGTACTTGTACTCGGGGTAGGCCGAGGTCACCGTCTGGGTGACGTAGCGCGGCTCCTGGCGGGTCTCGGTGACGTACTGGCTCTGCACCTGGGTCTGGGTGATGTAGCGCACCTCGGGCACCACCTGCGAGCGGTACTCGGTGCGGGTCACGTAGCTGGGCACGCGCGCCGTCTCCGTGTAGTAGCTGCTCACCACCACCGTCTCCGAATAGGTGACCGTCTCCGTGCGAGTGGCGTAGGCCGTCTCGGTAAAGTACTCCTGACTGGTGACGTACTTGGTGTCGTAGAGAACCTTGGTGCTGGTGCGCACCTCCGGAGCGCCGTAGCTGGTGATCACCTGTGTCTGGGTGACGGTGCTCGGCTGGAACTGGGTGTCGGTCAGCTCCTGGTAGAGCGTGGTCGGCTCCAGAACCCTGCGAGAGTTGAACTTGGTCTCGAAGTCGAGCTTGGTGGACGTGATGGTGATGTACTGCGTCTGCGGCTGACAGGCGGGCGCTCCGTAATCGGCCGAGGGCGCCGGCGAGCTGAACGAGGGCCCGATGGCAGGAGGAGCGCCATACTGGGGGGCGGCGGCAGCGGCGGCGGCCAGCAGCAGCAAAGTCAGACCCGTCATCTCTCCCAGCTAGGTGTGCGTGTTGGTGTGTACAGCGGCGCGGCGGCGGAGCGAGACTGCCTCTCGAGGTGACCGCCGCTCACTTTATATACGGCCCGCAGAGCGCATGTGTTCATGACCCACATGAGGAGCGAGGCGCGCGCGCTCGCAGCGCGCGCGCACACACACATACAAACACACATACCCCCCAGACACACATGCACACACGCACCCCCCCCCCCACACACACACCTACAGGCTACACACCTACACACTAGAGTTGCAAAGTTTTCCCAATGGGCTGCTACCGGCACCGCCGCGACCCACAAAAATTTTCTGGGATACCGGCATGCTACCACGCCCCAAGCAAAAAAAAAAAAAAAACAAATTACCGGCATACTAAAAAACCTGCATTCTTGATTCTGGCTTACCCCTACATGACATGCCACATTTTGGCAATTTCAGTAACCACCCCACCCAGCAGCCACCAATTGTCCAACCAAAACTACCAGCAGCCTGATTTTGGCTGAGTTGGCCCCACAAATAGGTACCACAATTTTGAAGCTCAAATCCAGCCTACAGCTGTTAAAATATAACCTGTAATCCAAGAGGTATTGCATACAAAAAGCATTAACACATTAATCAAAAAAGCAAGGATAAAAAGAACTTATTACTGAAATATGTTTCTGAAGACTGCACAGTGAGTAGCAATCACATTTACCACATGCCGAGATATCCCTTTAACATTAGCACGTGCATTTGGGAAATGGCTTCCACCCGCCTCGGCTAATGTTGAAGGTATTTGGGAAACGATTCGGCCCTAGGGCTTTTTGATTTTCCCAGACAAAATTTTACTGAATATTCTGAGCGGAAGAACCAATTTCAAAGAAGATATTTACGGATTGTGTGTTCACTAACAGCAACAGCAAAAGTAAGTGACTGCGTGTTTACTTACTTTTGCTGTCAACGTAATTCAACTAAACAAGGTTATCGTTCCAATGCCAATGTATTTATTGCTGTAGAACATGGTCGGAATAATCATTATTTCTACATAATGCACGCAAAAAACGAACAATTTAAATACATGAAGCATCTTAACATGCCACAATGAAACATTTGATATTGTTCCAGCTGGGATCCAAGACGCGTTTGATTCAGCGTTTCACCCAATTTTCAGTTTTCCTTACGGTTTCCTCACTCCTGCTGGACTCCATATCTTTATTCTAACTTCTGGCGCTTCACCATCTTCATCCTCAGCTTTTTCAAACCCTAAAATTTCATCTTTCATACTCAACTCAGCCCAATAATGAAAAACACAAAAAATAATCACGGTGACTATAATTATGAACATTTACTAATATAATATTAACACAATATTAAGATAAAAGTGTAAAAAATCAAATGAATATGATATTAACTGTTGCGCCGGTACGGCATGTGGTAAATCTCTTCCCAACCTTGGGCTGTGAAAATGCAGTTTTATTCACCTCGGTTTTTTGCTACGGACCTCGTGCCTACCGGCACTCGGTCCTCCGCACAAAAACCTCGGTGAATAAAACGCATTTTCCCAGCCCCGGTCGGGAATATATATTACCACAAGCGTTGTAATTTTCCACATTCTCCTAAAATGTTTCAGGTACCAACCAAATAATGAACAATAGTCACAAATCACAATATAAAAAACTACAGATTCGGCCATGTTCTAACTGAGGAAGCGAGATCAACATCTGGTTTTCCTATCCGCCATTGCTTGCTGGCTCGTGAGTAAAATACGAATCATGTAAAATATGTGTTAATAACTCACTTGTCCTGAGAAGTCGCCAAACAATATGTATAAAAACGAAATAATATCCTCCCCCATCTCAAACGCGGGAACAAACACAAGGTTATCAAGGATTTCGGAACAGATGCGCCATAACACAGTTTTTAACCAGCTGATTAAAACACTGCAAAAAAAGGTTTTAGGACTGCAAACTACTGCCTCGTGAATGATTTTATTCATAAAAATCATCCAACACGATATTAAATTCCAATTGAAATCAACACTGAGTGTTTTTCAATACAATAAAATCCATTTCTCTTGAGTAATTAAACCAAAGGGGCATATGAATAAATATTACGTCATCAGCTTACATCCTTTCTTTAGGAGACAGAAGATCTTAAAAGTCAATCCTTGGAGATCATATTGCGCCACTTTGTATTCATTTCGTCTGCATGTTGTGTTTTCTTGCAAAGATAAGACAAAATGCCAGTTTAATTCATTTTCATTTCATTTTGGGACCAAAGTAAGGCTCAGGGCTACCTAACACCTGCCTTTTCAGCTGGATTTTCAGTGTCAAATTCTTTGAAGAGTATCTCAGATCACTTCTCAGGACTCAAGGCCAGCTCCCGTGTTTTGTGTTGTTTTGATTTTGCCTTTTGCCTAGAGAATGTTGCCATGAACATTTATTTATCTTATTGTATTATACCTACTACCTACCAATAGACTTACCATTAGACTTAGGTTGTGCTTTTGCAACATGAATGAGTATTCTTCTTTTGATAGACCACAGAAGATTCTTGACAATTCTAATTTTAGAACCAAACCTGTGAAATGCTGAGGTTCATGTGTTACCCCTACCCTTAGCAATGGAACTTCTACCAGAAAATGTATTTTGCAGTGGCTAAGATTGCTGTTATTACAATTCAATAGCCTCTTAGTGTCCAAAGTTTGAATCATATGCTGATAATTTTTTTTGTGTGCAAAATAAAAAATATACCGGCATGCTACCGGCAAAACATGCCAGATACCACGAAAAAACCTGCGGTAGTGAATAATTACCGGCATGCCGGTAGCGCGGTAGGGAAATTTTGCAACTCTAACACGCACGCACGCACGCACGCACGCACGCACGCACGCACGCACGCACGCACGCACGCACGCACGCACACACACACACACACCCACACACCCACACACACACGTCAGCCATGAATAGTGAGACCCGTCGCCCAGCACCGACTACCGAGACCCAACGTTGCCAGAAGTCCAATCGACAACTCCTGTTGAGGAACGGCCCTTTGGATACGTACAACTTGAAAACAATGTGTCAATTCGAAGAAATTACAGATGGAAAGTCTCGAGAGCAGATGGGAGAACCGAGCCCCATTTGTGTATCGAAGTTTATCCACGAAGACTATAGAGGACATGTGTTTGAAAATTTACGGGTACTAAATACGCCGGGCAGTTGGAGGGGACGGAGGCCGCTTCAAATCCATTCTTTCCATTTAACACCCGGCCATAGAAGTAATACTAAAAATTACAAATATCCATGGTCACGCATCTCCTTGAAATGCTCTTGGTAGTGGGGTCGATGACGAGGCCGTATGAGTTATAGGGCCTGTTCCAGCGCCTCCAGAAGAAATTCTGGACTGGAGGCTCTACCAGAAGTTTTACTGGAGGCGCTGGAACGCTATCTGGAGATAAAACTGCTGGTGTCTTTTGTATACGGTAATGGCGCATTAGTTTCAAAACAGGATTGTAGTCAAACAATTGCTATAAATGATAAGGCTTTTCATCCTGGGCTCAAGGAGGAAGGGTAATTCTGGAAGAGGGTAGTGGCAATTATGTAAACTGTTGAGTCATAAAAAAAAAATCAACAAGTAACGACAATTAGGCACCGCATTAAAATATCTCAGTGGTTGTTGTGATTTGTGGTGGTTTAAACTGGTTTCTTATTCTGTTAGGACTAGTGGTTTCTAGCGCATGCTAATGATATCAAAAAGTGACTTGGCAACAGAAAATTCATAATGATTAATGAGCATGACATGTCATAATGATATGATCCTTGTTTTTACAGCTCTTGTCTTTCATCTTCGAGTCATGACGGAAGGACCGTTACGTGAGCTTCAGGAAGAAGAAGTAGAGATGTTGCTCCACTTAGAGGAGGAGCATGCCCAGGCAGTGGCAGCATTACTCAATGGTGAAGATGAAGAAATGCCTGAAGAAATACTTCATCACATCCAGGATATAAGGTTGGTATATAAATTTAATATCGTTTCAATTTCTATCACAAGTCATAGCGTATTGCGCAATCTTATTAGTTTCTGTTGAACAGAGGCGGATCCAGCTCAGAGTTTTGAGGGGGGCCAAACCATAACAATTTATCGATTCTTTCCATGTCTCGTCCATAGGCGTAATGTTAAAATTATGCCGTTGGGGGGGGGGGGGGGTAAATGCCCATTTTGCTCCCCTTGAGCCGCCACTGCTGTTGAAGTTATTCAAGTTCATTAGACCTTTTCTCCTAGAACAATTTAAAGGTTATATGTGACAGTATATATGGCCATGTCTACTCATGGTATTAGTCTTACTTATACTTGAATATGCCTTGTTTCAGAGATGATCAAGCTGAGAGAGTGAGAGCGAGAGGCTATGTGGTAGCCACTGTACCAGCCTACCTTGATGATGACTTCCGTGGGCATTTCCGGTGAGTTTGAGTTTGTTGGTTTGCAGCATTTCATGCTAGGCTAGTTTTGCACTTACCTACATCCCTTGTATTCAAAGGGGATAACAGCCAGTAAGATAAAGTGTGTGTGCCTCATCATCGTTTCTTACCCAACTGCTTCCTTTTCTAGGATGACTCGACACCAGGTGCAGCAACTGCAGGAGGACTTGGGCGCGGCAGGGGCGTACGCCGAAGACCATGGCGGAAGGGAGCCCATTTCTCCAGGCAAAGCACCATTGGTCCTTCTGTGGACTTTAGCCAATCAGGACACTATTCGGAGCATTAGTGACAGGTTCGATCTTACCAAGTCGAGTGTAATACGCTCGAACCGACGCTTGACGAATGCGATCGTAAACGACCTGCTCGGAGAACACGTGAAGTGGCCAAACAACACTGCAGCTGGTGCGATCGACTGTGCTGGGGGCATCGAGATTGTGGGGGCCAGGGGGCGTCGAAGTCTAGTAGGAAAATCTGGCAATCCCCGGCGTGACGTAACGTCGGGGATGACCGACGGCACCTTGCACTGAAAGATACGGCAGAACGGCTATTTTTGAAAAATGATTAAAAATACTTGGGTGCTGTTATGACACATTAAACGCTTATCAGCATGTTCCTCATCATGTGATAAAGCCATATCCGTGGTCTAAAATAGCCGAGCCCCTCCCAATTTCCAAACATCGACCTTATAAGCAAAGGATGTAAGCGTAATCCTTAAGGGCGACTTTCCCTTACATATCCGTACATATGCGTCCTTATGGAAATCGGTAGTGTGGCGATAAGCGACGCGCGCGACATCTGTGGGGCGACTGTGGCGACACCTGGTGGCTGCTTTTCTGCTGTATGTAGGTATTGGGGCTTTGCCAGATATGGTTCCTACTGCTACACAACTATGTTGACCCAATACTAGAAAGTTATTTTGCCCGTAAATGGCAAGCAAATTAAAAGAATATTTATAAAATTGCTTATAAATGATTACGAGATAACAATGAAGAAGTTTTGATTGATTAATCACTTAAATAGTCAACCGTAAAACTATATTCTGGTAGGTTTAGTAGAAATTAGTCCGTGCAACCTTGTATTTAGGGCCTTGGTGGGGGCCATCGATGGCTCTCACATCCCGATCTCCCAGCCAGTCGAGGACCAGGAGGTCTATGTAAATAGAAAGGGCTTCCACTCTTTGGTTCTCCAAGCGGTCTGCCAGGCTGACACGCGCTTCATTGACGTGTTAACGGGATACCCGGGCTCGGTTCACGATGCCCGGGTATTCCGTAACTCTCCCTTGTGCCAGGCGCTTCCCAGACTGTGTCCCGATGGTGAAAGTGTCATTCTAGGAGATAGCGCGTACCCCTTAAAGGTAGTGTGCCACCTTTGAAAGATTTCCCATTTTATTTTTCCTAGGATAAGAAGCTTCTGTTTTTACCTAATATCGCAAAAAATGGGCCTGGAATAGTGCCTTTTTCGCCTAAAAGTTTATCGGTTTTTCGATATGTATAACAACTGTAGTGGGCTGGCCTGCAAACAGGCGTCGACAACAATCGCGAATGCAGCGCACATGTGACAATAAGCAAAGGTCATTATAGAGTTACGACGTACGGGAATGAGTTATCAGCTGTCTAATCGTAGACAACACAATGTCGAGCCTTAAACTGTAAGCCTGTATTGGTATTGTTTCTTTTATTTGGCTGTCGAACATTATTTATGGTTTGAAATATGATTTTATGTAAAATAATTGATATGAAAAAGCCGTCTCTTAAGTTATGACCCCATTTCATCACACGCAAGTGGCAGAAATGACAATGATCAGCTGACGCATTTTTCTTGGCCGAAGTCAGAGCGCGCGGCCCGACGCACCACCACCGCACCACAAAGTATGAGCAGAAGCCGCGCCCAAAGCTGCAGGGCCCCGGTAACGTGAGGCAAGGCCCTATATACCAGGTAGGGTCGTCCGGCGATTCTACCTTTTCGTGACGTCAGCTCGTGACGTCATTTGGAGTCAAGTCTCGAGGCCCAGTTCAATCCCCATGTAAATGAGCGATTTTCGAAGCACTGTAGAATGAAGTCTGCACAAGATATATCAAACCTTAGTATCTTATCTGAAAGAGCAGACAATTTTCTGCAAGTTATCTATTACGTGTTTTTCGCTAAATCTTTTGCTTTTTTCACAAAAGCGTAAAATGTCCCCCCATGTCTCCGCAGCCTCCCTGCCGCCGGCCGCCGCGCGGTCGCGGTAGTGTAGTGGTTAGCGTGCCCGCGCAGTATTCCAAAGGTCCCGAGTTCGAATCTATGCGGTGCGGAACTTTTATTGCAATTCCAAGCTGAATATACGCACATCCATAATAAATTATTATTCGTATAGCTAAACTGTCACCAAGCTATCCATATAAATTGACTTCACCCAAAATATCGGCAAGATTCTATTAAAATATAAATTCAAATATGGCGGCTTGGACTGCCGCGTGCGTTAGGCTCCGCCCATAGCTCCGCCCACATGCGTGACGTCATTCGTGTTAGTGGACACGCAGAGAGATAGGGGACGACATGGGCCTGACGTGAGGTAGGCGAGTCGGGGCAGAGTGCGCTGACCCAAGTCGGGGCCGCAGCTTTGGGCGCGGTCTACCGCATCCCCGCGGGCAGCCCCGGGCTATCACATGACACCGGGAGGACGCGCGGCCCCGGCTTGGGTCAGCGCACGCTGCCCCGACTCGGCTACCTCACGTTACCGGGGCCCTGGCTTTGGGCGCGGTCTACCGCACCACCGTCTCTTGCATTAGATCATACAGGCGTGTTCGAAACCGCAGGAGATGATGATGAACGGGTTTATCGAAACTTGATTGGATGAGCATATCGGTAATAGCGATTTCAGTGTGTGCATTTATTGTTCATAGTGGTGTGAAATGTGGTTGGGGTACGACCGACAACCCGTCGGGGCGAATTTCGCACTGGGGTCTTCAAAATTTGAAGAATTTAAGACGTTTCCATGAGTTTTGAAGGTATGGATAAGTTCTAAAAATCCGGTTCTCCTTATCTGGGCCATTATCTCCATACGGTCCAGGAAAGCTGGCACACTACCTTTAACAGGGCAACTGATCACCCCGTTCAAGGATAACGAAAGGCTAACAAGGCGTCAAAAGCGATTCAACACAGAAGTAAGTAAGAGGCGTATGGTGATCGAGCGAGCATTTGCCCTGTTAAAGGGTCGTTTCCGTAGGCTCAAGTTCTTGAAGATGTGGAGCATCGCTGACACGACCAAAACCATCATCACAGCCTGTGTGTTGCATAACATGTGTCTGGCAGGTGGCGACAGGGGCGATGACTTTGGCGAGCTTACCGATGGTGCAGAGAGGCTCGAGGTTGTTGTGCCGCGCCATCGAGATGACGCGGCAGAAGACAGGCGTGATGAGCGTGGCGCACCTGTAAGAGAACAGCTGATGACTGCCTTTCTGGGCCCGGAACTTAGGTAATATGTGTCCGTGCTAGAGGTGCCAGCTTCAGCAAATGCATATCCAATGTCTGTGGTCCGGTAACTTCGCCGAGTGGACGGTCAAAATGCCCAAGCTGGCAGCAATTAGTCCAAAGATGTCTGTCTTTTTGACATTTTGGACGGTTCGAAGTCTGCCATGCTCAGCATTACTCAGACATTTATTTTTACACCTTTGTTATGCCTGCTGGATGTGTATAAATGAATGATCGTATGATTGAGGACCACTATCAATGGGTTTTACCTGTGTGTGGCCTTCCAAATAAATGAAATGAAGTGAACTGGTCGTCTGTAATGTTACGTCGCCCGTGTCCTTCTTCGTCTTAGTACGGTTTTAACTACACCAAGCGTGAGTAGAGAAACGAGGTGGCTCCATTAATGTGGTCGGTGCACCATAAATACACGTTGCTGATGCGCTGCTTTTCAGGCGCCACTGTTGAATGGCCTCATTAGTCTGTCCTTCCATTGCCCGCTGAGAGGCAGGGATTACTATGTAAGATGTATTATGCCAATACCTGAGAAAAAAAAACAGCAACTGATGCATTCACAAGTAGGAACAAAGTGGCATCGCGTAATACGGCAAATCACAAATGGCACAGCTATTCACGGCGAACCGCAAATGACACCAGCTCTTGGCTATCAATAAAAATGAACTATGATCTAATGCACTACAGCGTATTCACACAAACGAAGCTCTTGGTTGCATCACCATTCCCCAGCTAATGAATGGCCATTTGAACCAAGGCCCTAAATACAAGGTTGCACGGACTTATTTCTACTAAACCTACCAGAATATAGTTGCACGGTTGATTATTTAAATAATTATTCAATCAAAATGTCTTTATTATCATCTCGTAATCATTTATAAGCAATTTTATAAATCAACTTTCAATTTGCTTGCCTTTTACTAGCAAAATAACTTTTCTAGTATTGGGTCAACATAGTGGTGTAGCAGTAGGAACCACATCTGGCAAAACCCCAATGCCTACATACAGCAGAAAAGCAGCCACCAGGTGTCGCCACAGTCGCCACTTGGTCGCCACACAGATGTCGCGCGCGTCGCCAATCGCCACACTACCGATTTCCATAAGGACGCATATGTACGGATATGTATAGGAAAGTCGCCCTTAAGGATTACGCTTACATCCTTTGCTTATGAGGTCGGTGGTTGGAAATTGGGAGGGGCTCAGCTATTTTCGACCACGGATATGCCTTTATCACATGATGAGGAACATGCTGATAAGCGTTTTATGCGTCATAACAGCACAAAAGTATTTTTAATCATTTTTCAAAAAAAGCCGTTCTGCCGTATCTTTCAGTGCAAGGTGCCGTCGGTCATCCCCGACGTGACGTCACGCAGGGAATTTGCCAGATTTTCCTACTAGACTTCGACACCCCCTGATTTGAACTTTCATGGGCAATCCGGCGACCCACGCCTCTAAGGACTCAGCTTGAACCAAGTTCATCTTCACTTTGACGCCTACCTTTTCCCCGTCCAAGAAGCTCACGCATGAGGGCCAGCCTTTCCTGGTGTATCTTATATGCTAGCTCCTGATTTTCTTTGTGCCTCTCCTGTCTTTTCTTTTCCATGCCATGAAGGAACTCTAGAACCTCTTCGTTGGATGTTCTCTTAGCCTTCGTGCTTTTTCCCTCAGTTTCACTGGGTGTAGGCCTTTTGCTCCCCATCGAAGGAGATTTGAGAGTCTCAGATGTACTGTTGATCACCTGAGATGGGCAAGCTGACCCAGAAGCATCATTTGGGCTAGAAGCGCTATTGGACTGTCTGTCCGAGCTCGGTGTGTTGTCGGGTGTCAAACTTCCCAGGACGATCCTCGGAGAGACACTTGGGTTTTGCCAAGGATGTCTTCCAACTCCTTTTGGTAGAGGCAGATTTTGCGACTTCTACCTGACTGTCTATTGTTGTCCACTGTCCTCTTATAAGCATCACAGAGAGTTTCCCATCTGTTATTTACCTGTTTGACACTGAAACTCAAACCACCACCACTTTTGTTCGCTTCATCTGTTATTTTGTTCCACACAAGTTTCTTCTTGTACCTGGGGTCTGAGAACTTTTCTTTATGAACGCCATAGAGGTATATCAGCGACTTTGTCGCTTCATCAGACCAATTTCTTTTTTTTGACTGCATTGTCTAGACCAGTTTCCTCGTCATCTAGACTGGGAATCGTCTAGGACTACTTGATCAATGCCCTCACATGTGTGGTGCACAATCCAGTTAATTGGACCTTCCACCATGCATTTTGAGCACAGAAAGACTTCGTCTTCAGCCATTTTGATCTGAAAAGAGGATCATTCTATCAGTTTCCTGAATCAACATACTGATGAAATGCATTGTCTTGGAATGGTACAGATTCATAAACACAAATAAGCTGATGACTATTGTAAAAAGCTGGACAAGAAATTAGCAATAGATTCAACATACATGCACAACAATTGACTAGGTACAGCTTTCGACTGGGTTGACAACGCTACTACGGTGATAAATCTGCACCAGCTCACGCCAACTAGTGTTTTGTTCCACACAACATTCACATTGTACCACCAAATATCTCTGAACTCCGCCAAGTCAGAGTACGCACAGCGATCTGGTGGAAATTCCTCTTTGCAGTTTGGTTGGAAAGTAGGTAGTTTACATCTAAATACAGAATTTAATTAAATTCATTTTAAATTATAATATTAATAAATTCAAATAAAATAATTCACTCAATTTCACTATGAATTACCGAGCACACAATTGTTCGGCTACCTCAGAAGAAACAATCTCGTTTTGATTTTTAATTCAATGCATTCAAGTACAATTCTACTAAAATTTCTAAATTAATATGTGCCAATGCAACGCAAAGCACTCTTGCAAATACTTATCTATCAATCTCAATAGGTGAGGTAGGCAGGTAGGTACCTACCTACCTATCCATTGTCACTATTGTCGCAACGCCAATTACGTCCCGGTGACAACGGAAGGACGAACAATTGATTTAATTGCGAGATCAAACAACTTTCGATTATGTTCTGTTACAATAGAAATAATTTAAAGATTACATACCTAAATCAACACGCACCAAACGTTGAAAATCTGAAAACTGACGCGCCAATTGCCTGAGCACAAAATGTCACGTGCCCGCCATAATTGTAGACCAGACCCTCCAGAGAAAATTGGACCTCTCATCTCTCTGGAGGCTACTGGAGGTTTCTGGAGCTTCGGCGAGAGCTTTCTGGAGCTTTATGGAGGCGCTGGAACGCTCTGGAGGATTCTGGAGCTTACTGGAGCTTTCTGGAGGTTTCTGGAGGCGCTGGAACAGGCCCATAAATGGAATGAAGGGAAACCATGGGGAAACAGTAAACACAAGGCCATCTATAGAAGGTACAGTCACTCCCCCGCCGACCAATCAGAGACAGATCCTGAGTGACGTCACCCCTGATGCTCGAAAGGGGTACTCCATTCCTTTACAACGTAAAAATGACTAACTTCATTTGAAGATTGTTGGTGACACTCTACACACATCGCTCAACCACTGATGTCATTGGAAAGTTCAACTAATTTTCTAGCGATAAAAAAGAGCAGCAATATGCTAAGAAATGGCCGGTTTTGAAGATATAGACGATTTAAAAACCCTCTGCAGTTGCAGGAAAGCAACGTAAAATCGCATCGAGCTTATATTTTTACTATGAATAAATCATTTTTCAGTAAGTTTTTAGATATGGTATCGATTTATTCAACAACTTTATTACAATATTTTTATTACTTGCAACTCTATTTCAAAATAATATTTTCAAAAATGGCAACTGTTGGCAAGTAGCTTTGAAGCGATTGTGGCGCGCCGCGCCATTATTGTCCTGAGGCCCCCATATGATGTCATCAGAAGTGGAGTGACATGGGCCTGAGTAAACAAAAATCGCAAAACGCGTCCGTGAGCTATCGTAGGTGTAGCGTATCGTATTGTCAGGGACCGCCAAACCTTAACATCACACTTTTCTTAGTTAAACGATGCCATTTTATTGACGGAGGCCTTGTAACGGCATGACTGGCAGGCGTCTGACTGCTGCCAGGAATGTTCAAGGCTCTCGGGCCAGCTCAGGCTCCGGTACCGAGTAAAATGTCTCGATGACTTCCTCCTGTTACCGGCTAGGGCAATAGGTCCTCGAACCGCCCAGATGCTCGATCGCGGCTTATCCCCACCGTGCTGGGGAAGGCGTTTTGTATATTTTTTACATAATGCGCTATAATTGAAAGTACATTATTAGACGGGCCCCGTACGGTAGGTAAGATATAAATCCTTCCCATCTATTACCGTCAGGATGAGACAATGAGACAACGACGAAGTGGTGTTAGTGTCTACAGTTAAATCGGCGGAGTGTTGTTACTTGTCGAACGCCGCAACAATTTTGCAGTTTTAATTATCCAAGGTCATGAGATATTTAATCAGTAAAATGTAAGTCAGTTTCGAAACCAAACGTTACGGATAACAGTTGACCCTAGACCTTAAAATTGCGCACCGCTGGCTTTCTCATCTCACCGATACCTCGCCTTCTGCGCCGTGAAAACCCCCTTGCGAGAGGCAAATGTGCAAAAAAAGAAGACTTAAACAACACCTAGTACTCTTGCCTTTTTAGTATCACTGATCATGGGTGGAGCTTTTCCAGGAAAGTTGGTGGGGCAAAACAGTGGTGGCGGATTCGATTTTGGCGTGGGGGGGCAAGATCCCAGTCGAGATGATGTCATAGGCGGATCCAGAAAGGCGTTTTCGACGCTGTAGGGGACATACCCCCCAAAAAAAGTGTCCAAAATCCAAAAACTCCTCGGATTTCGATTCCCTACTGCTGAACAGTAGAAAGCAAAAAAAGCCTGATAAAAGTGTTATTATTAGGAAAAATAAGGAGGGTACGTTTTGTCTATTTCAGGCGATGCATGGGGGCCAGGGGGAGGGAGAGTAAATATCTGCTTTAAATGCCCGCTCCCTGGATCCGCCAGTGGACGATGAAACGCTTTTCTTATTGCTGTATAAGAAAAAAGCTCCAATGGGAAAAATTGTGTCATAACCCGATCGCATATCAGATGTTGAAGAACGGTGCCAACCCTTTTGAAGTAGGCGAGCGCTATTCTTCAATGAGGTAACTCGTTACCATTTCCTCTGTTCATTTTGCGTTCGATTTCCGTTTAACCTTCCTTTAAAAAGTATTTCTGAGACAGATATCAACTGAAACTAGCTCACAGCGGGAGGAGACCGCTCAAACATTCAGAGACAGTCGGTCGCATCTAAACCTATTGGGACAGCGATCCGCCAGAAACCCTCCCCAATGGCAGTAGTTCGCCAACTAAGCTCACCGAGACGGGCTCAGGGCTGTCTCGATGGGTTTATACAGGAAGCCTATACCTACAGCAAGGCTTAATAAGGCCCAAACGCTCGTCAAGCTGGGAACGGAGGGCTGAGGTGAGGGAGCGCGGCGGCGGGCTGGGGTGAAGGAACGGTGGCCTGGAACGAGAATCCAGAAGCTCTGGGTGGGGCGTTTCTTTCTTAGGGCTTTAGGGTGCGCTGACTGCGGTAAAAGGTTCAAATTATCACACCAAATCTTGCCACGACATCTACCGGTTCAGGCACTCGAGAAACAGCGGCCAGTGGTATCTGCAAAGACGAAGCATTTCCAACCCAGCTTCAGCCTGGTGTCAGGGCGCCTCAGGTGGCTTTAATTACAGTTGCACATACCAAACGACCTCAGTGCAGCCAGTCTGTGGCCGAAACCATTCGGAACAGACTTCAACGAAAAGTGAGACAAGGTTAGTGCTATCGTTAAGTGCCATTATAGACTTGGGCCCCGTTGGCTTGACCCACTGGAAGGTGGTAGTTATCGGACGCTGCGGGGCATACTCATTCTTCCAAAATGCCTTAGATTTTGCTTTCGTATTCATAGGCGGCGGAACGGGGAGGGCACCGGGGCACCGTGCCCCCTTTGATTTTGGCATTTTAACGTTAGCGATATGGCGTTGCATGGAAAGAATGGGACCAAAAGTCGGCAGTGCCCCCCCCCCCCTTAATTGAAGGTGTTCCGCCGCTACTGTTCGTGTTTGATGCTCTTTATTCTATAGCCAGCCTTTAGACCCACTAATGATCAGTGCCCTAACCCTCAAAAGTTTCCAACATTAACCCTCGCCCTGGCAGGGGGGGGGGGGTCGATGCGACCCCCCCTAAGGGTTTTCGAAGATAGCGTAAAAACGGCGGGGCGCAGCGCCGCCAAATTTGGCACAGCCTATGGGGCAACCTTTTTACATATGACCTGAAAATTTCAGGTCCGAGTGACCTAGGGTCAGGTCACCAGGTCAGAAAAACCGGTACAAGGTCATGGCCAAATTTCAATTTTCTTTTTGCACCTGTCCAACTCACAGTTTTTGACTGATTTCCTTCAAACTTTCAGGATGTGCTAAGTTCACCGAGTTGTATAACATATAGCTCGGGTTTTTTTAGGTCACTGACCTGAGGTCAGTTAGAGGTCATTACGTCGTAATGTTAAGCCTATGGGAAAATACTAAATTCGGAAAATACTGGAGATATCCGCTTCGTTCCATCACTTTTGTGCTTTGAAACCACAGTACTTAACAGCAGGTCACTTGGTGCTTCTTTGTTTGGTGTACTTATCCATGGGTCAGGTCAAATGAGGTCAACTGAGGTCAAATGACGTTTTTGCCAATAATTTGGCACATAATGACGCTAGAGCTTAAAAAATGGTATCATTGTGCTCCTGGCGATCAGCCGAATCGAATGATATGCGATATGATGCAATTTGGTTAACTTGAACTTAATTTATAAATTTAAGTTTACTTAAGATTTAAGAAAAACTTTAAGTACACTTAAGCAAGCTAAAAAGTATATCATTTGACGCGCCTTGACGTGCTCAGTTCACTGGTGCTTTTCTTTTTGCTCTATCTTAATTAGATCAAAAGTTATAAGCGAAAAACTTTTGACCTGTTTTTAACGAAATTTTTACATTTATACCCCCCAAACTCCCCTAAATATTGACCTAGAGTAACCAAATTTACACAGGTGCGAGAACTCCGGGGGGCCCACCTACCTACCAAATTTGGTGTTTCTAGGTGCCATAGGAGCCAATCGCGAGGGGGGTCGCATCGACCCCCCCCCCCCTGCCAGGCCGTGTTATGAAAAATGCCCTGCCAGGGAGAGGGTTAATTTTTACTTTTTTAACCCGCGCCCGGCTGGGGGTCCTGGATTTCCACGCCCTGCTGGGCCCAATCTCACCAAGTGCGGTAAACTGAATTTGGGGTAAAATACCAAACTACCCCACTCCATAACTACAAAAATACTACCCCGAAATTAGTTGAACTAGCTTGGTGAGGTTGGGCACTTGGCCCAATCTCACCAAGTTATGTAAACTTAATTTTGGGACAGTATTTTTGTAGTTACGGAGTGGGGTAGTTTGGTATTTTACCCCAAATTGAGATTACCGCACTTGGTGAGATTGGGCCCTGGGGGGTGTTTGAACACCCCCCCCCCCCTTGTAACTCGGCTCCTGGGCCACGTAGCGATACGCGGAAGGCGGCGTTCGAAAGAGCGTAAAAAATAATGACGAAATCACTTCGGTCAATTTTTTGGTCAGGTCAAAGGTCAGGTCACCAGAGGTCATTGAAGGCAAAATTTCGCCGATTTCCAGGTCGAATGTCGAAAATTTCCAAGAAGCCAACGCATAACTCGGGAACCAATAGAGCTACAGCGCCGCGGAAAAGCGCATTCGATAGCCCTATTAACGCCCTTTCTGAGTAATTCTCTCAGATTTGACCTAACGTCAACGGTTTTGCCTGCAGGGGGCAAAAACTGCAAAAATAGCCGATTTTTTCGGAAACAGTTTTTCTGCAATAACTTTTGACCCAAGCCTTGTACGAGCTTACTTTTACCGGCATCGTGTTCCTCTCGTCAAGACGCATCGAATGAACTATAACTTGACCTTGAAAGGTCAACTTGAAAATTTGACCTCAGGTCAAGGTCATGACCTGACCGGAAAGGGTCATGTTGCATATCAGTCGATCCGTATCATCGAGCTGAACACATCTAAGGCGTTTTCATCGCTCTAGCATGCCTCTATCAAAAGTTATTTGCGAAAAACTGTTAGATACCATTCGTGACCTAAGATGACCTCAGGGCATAAACAAGGGTCACGGACACCATTTTCATGTTCAGTGTGTCTAAACCACTTGTAATTCGGTGTTTGGGAGTGTTTATAATGTCTTTCGTCCAAAAGAGGCGCATTTCAATTTTCTCCCATTGACTTATAATGGGGAGGTCGCAAAATTGACCTGACCTTAGGTCATCGACATCAAAATTTTGAGATATACATTTTGTACATGTTATTGCTCTTAGCAATCGCTGAAAGTTTCAAAGTGATAGGTCACTCGGTGTAGCTATGACAGACATTGGAACTTTTTATGAGGTGAGGTCACTTCAAGTGACCTGGTGACCTGACCTTGAATGACCTTGGTCTGAAATTTTCACAACATGTGTAGGATTGATGTATGATAAGGTGTACCAAAAACGGCGGCGCTCCGCGCCGCCGTTTTTGAGATATTCGCGAAAAACCACAAGGGGGGGTGTTCAAACACCCCCCAGCAGGGCGCGGGTTAATAGTGAAATCGAAATAAAGCGGATATTGAACTGTGAACATCCAGTTTTTACACTGGCCCCACACAAGCCTCCGAATGCCCAAAGCAGATCTCTGATGACTGGCCTTTGGGTGTCATACCATACCGTGCATTGGTCAATGTGGTCAATGTGTACGACTTCGGCGTTTACCATTTTATGCGCTGGAAACTGTTGCGCTCGAAAAAAATCAGGGGAGTGGCTTATTATGAGCGCTCATTAGTCCTAACTATCCGCAAGCGAATGGCTAGCCCTTCCGTCTCCGCTCGCTTGCGATTTGGCATTTATGTAGGTACAAAATAGCGGCAAACGACCACTGAAGGTATGAGTTGCGTCTCTTGCACACTTAAAATATCTCTAAATCGAATCTGAAAAGACAAAAAAATGATATAAAGCGGAAATGGTTAGCATTTACACATATTCAAAAGGCACCGTTGGACAAACTGTAGGAGCGCATAGCTGCAATATCAGGTTATGGAAATTTTCGTCATGTTTAGGGCACAAATTATGGAGGGGCAAGAATATGCGTGTGCCCCTCCTCCAAAAGTTTCTTAGGGGACGATGCCTCCTCTGCCACCCCGTATCCGTCGCCCCTGTAAGCGGTCACTGAAGGCCTGGGTTGCTGCTGCGTCACGCGGACGCTTATAATGCCTCCAAAACTAGGTTGAAGAGAGAAAAACTTCAATTGAACGCGAACGCTTGCCATGAAAGGCAACGTATGATAAAGTATATGGGCATCTGGTTACATCTTCAGATAATCGAACAGCATAATCAGGTATATGGTTTCTTTTCTAGGCTTTGTCACAAATTATGGGGGGGCAAAAAGATACTTTTGCCCCCCCCCACGAATTTGCCAGGGGGGCAGCTGCCCCCCCCCCCCTGCCCCCCGAATCCGCCGCCCCTGGGGCAAAAAGTTGTCAAACCTACAATGTCCGATTGTTAAGTTAGATAAAATTCAACAATGAATCAATTCTTTTCATTACAGAGATAATATTTTGCATTACACAGACATTTCAAAGCTCCTCAATGCGAAAAACATAGGTTTGCTAAGCAGTAAAGTCCTGCAAATCGGCTTAAGTTGGTGGGGCAAAACGCTTATTGGTGGGGCAAAATGGCAAGTTGGTGGAGCAGGCGCCCCACCAAGTGAATAGGAAGCTCCACCCTTGTCACTGATAGTACTTACCTGCAAACATTGTTGCCGACTACGCAGTCTAAAAAAGAGCGATGCTGATCTGATGCGTCTCAGTGCAGCGATATTTTGAGGGCGAGCACATAAGACAAGTGCCTGCACTACACGCCCGGCCTTGGCCGCAGACCCAGCGCCAGCACCAAATCAGGCCCTAACCCCACACCCACCCCAGATCCGGCCCCTGACCCGGTCCCGGGCCCAGAGCCGGCACCATGCCCAGCCTTGTGCCTTTGACCCGGTCCCGCTCCCGGTCTCGGGCCCAGACCCGGCCCCAGTTCCAGTCGGCGAAGACAGACTAGGCCCTGGCACTAGACCCAACCCCAGATTCAGTCCTGGCTCTATACCCGGCCCAGATCCGGCATCAGGCCCAGCCCCAGCACCAGCACAAACTTCACATCTACCCTAGTCGTCTGGTGCTTGATCTGGTAACGGGTCTGCTGGACCGAGTATGGGACCGGGACCGGATCTGGGGCCGCTGACTGGACTGGAGCCGAGACTGGGTATGATGCTGGGTCTTGTTCTGGGTCTGGTGCCGGGTCTTGGGCCGGACCTGGGACTGGGCCTTGGTCTTGTGTCGAGGCCTGGTCTGGGACCAGTGCCGTGTCTCGAGGCCAGCGTCGGGTCTGGAGCCGGTTCTGGGAAGGGGGCTGGATCTGGCTCCGGGCCTAGAGTCGGTTCTGGGACCCAGGCCCGGATTCTGGGTCCTCGTGTGGGGATGGTCCGGTGCCGGATCTGGGGTTGGGGTTGGGGTCGGGTCTGGGGCCTAGTATGGGCTGGGGCTGAGTGTGGGGCTGGGTATGGGGCTAGGACCTTGCCTCGGGCCGAGCCTGAAGCCGGGTCCGCGGCCGGGACCGAGTCCTGGGCCTGGCTGTGACCGGAGCAAGGCAAGGAATAGGGCTTGGGCTGGGTTGAGCAAAGCTGGAGGAATTCGAAGGTTGAGCTGATCACCAGAGTTGTTTGGAGCTGGAACTGGGGCTGGGTGGAGCTGGAGACCCAGCCCCACTAGCCCTAGTTCCAGCCCCACCAGCTCCAGCCATTCAGTCCCACCAGCTTCATCTTTATCAGCCCGACAGTCCCAGTCCTCGTGCCCACCAGCTCCAGCACTCACCAACCCTATTAGTGTCACAGCCAGCTCCAGCCATACTCTCCAGCCTTAGCTTTCAGCCACAGACCCAGCCATGGCTACAGATCCGACGTCGATCCCAGACCCAGCCCCAGACCCAGCCCTGGCCCGAGTCTCGATCATAGAGCCGACGCCAGACCCGGCCCCAGGTCCAGCCCCGTCTCTGGGCCCGGCTCCAGACCGGCTCCGGCTCTTGACCAGGCCCTATACCAGACACCATACCCATCCCCGGGCCCCGGTCCAGACATGGATACGGACCCAGCCATGGCACCAGGCCGGAGACCCGACCCCAAACCTGGTTCTGGTCCACTCAGCCGACAAACCTGGTTAGCATCATGAAAACGGGTGCATCGTTAGAGCATAACGATTAGAACAATTCATGAATGTGATATGGAAAGTGATTGACATGCAAACTGAAATATAAAAAATGAATTTATAGCAGCATTGACGGACTACAGATTCGTGCCCTAAACTAACCTACCAACTTGACGTTGCCCCCACAAAAAACGATCGGTTGGATCCGCCCGTGTACTTAGTCACCTGCTAGTTTGTAATCCCATTATCCAGCTCCAGCTTTCTCTTTCAATTGCTAACATACCGTATCCCTTCTATGATGTCTCTGCGTCTTCTTGCAGGGAGTTCCACGTTTAAACTTTAAGATATCGCAGTAACAGATTTCCTTTCTACTTTTCTGTTGGTGTTACGCCTCCTCTTTCCTTTACATTATTATCGATGCACCTTTCTCAGTTACCGAAGTCCCATTAGTGATAGCTTAATAAGTTGACATCTGATAAGTAGAAGGGTATTGCTGTAGCTATTGCAGTCGGGTATTATGCTAGTGGTATTCGATACTTATAGCTTTCTTAGTGATCGACACCCTGAATCAACTGGGTATTTCGAACTTGCGACCACCGAGAAAATGAGCACAGTGTAATGGACACTGAATGGGTGTCATACTGAAGTTTGGTGATTGGAGTGCGGCCACCCCCCCCCCCCCCCCCATATATCCCCGATAGCCGAGTGGTTAAGGTGTCTGGACGTTTGGCCGGCGTGATCAGTCGGTGGTTGCCGGTTCGAGTCCGGCCCGGTCCTTTGCTTTTGTAACGTGCGCCGAGTTTGTGTCCGTACCGCGCTGTGATTGGTGGTGACGTCTGACCCGAGGTCACGACCGGTGCGTGCCGGCGGCGGCGGTCAGTGTGTGCGTGGCGGTGCCCGGGTAAGTGCGGGGACACCTGAGAGGTTGACCGTTTTGGGAGGGCTCCTGTAATCATAATAATCATAATCATGTATTTCGGAAAACATCCATCGGGTGGGTTTTCAGTTATCCACGTCATACAAGTACCCAACATAATTCCTACAATATATCACACAAAAGAAGGACATGTACCCGACTAAAATCCTTAAAATGGTTAAAATACCTACAAGGTCTCAAGCGAGATCACTAGATCAACCGGCACCGGTCACCTGCCTCTTGAAAGAAGCGTAGGTGGCGGAGCTCCTCACACATCGTGGCAGCTCATTCCACGCCCTTACGGCTCGGGCGTAGAACGACCGTCTGGCGAATTCGGTGCGCGTGCGCGGCACCTCGAGTTGGCCGTCGACAGTGGCCCTCGTCTCACGTGCAGCTACATCGGAACGACTGGTAATCCGTGTGCGTAACACCTCCGAGGCCCTGGTATCGTGTAACAGTCGGTACATGACACAGCTGTCGTGCTCAGTTACCATCTGCTCGATCCGTTTCCACCCTAGCTCTCGCAGCGTTTCCGTGACATGTTCTCGGTATCCTAGGCCGGTTACAACGCGAGCGCCAAAGTTGATGCACTTCTGCAGTCTGCGTTTCTGTGTGACGGAACAGCTTCCCCACACAGAGCTACAGTACCGCAGGTGGGGAAACACCAGCGTCTCCACCAGCAGCTGCCTCGTCTCTCGAGGTATACGGCGCTGCATTCTCGCGAGACCAATCAGAATCGAGTAGCATCGCTTGACAACCGCCGTTACATGCTGCTCCCACGACAGACACGAGTCAAGAGTCACACCCAGAATCTTGGACGATCGTACAGAGTTAATAGAAGAGCTGCCAAATTTCACTGTGAAGTCACCGGTGACAATTTTTCGAGCTGATTTGAGAAGAAGCATGTCGGTTTTCGTAGGGTTGACCTTAAGCCTATTTTGGGTGAACCACCGCAAGGCGACAGACAGCATGTTCTCCACGCGACACTTCAGCAGAGGTAAGTTCTCCGACAGGTCGGTGTCCAAGAACTGTACATCATCGGCGTACATGACAAGCTTGCCGTACGGCACGTGCTGCGGCAGGTCGTTGGTGAACAGGAGGAACAGTACGGGGCCCAGGATCGACCCCTGTACCACCCCGTGCGTCACCGGTAGTGTCTCGCCTGTTCCTCCCTTCACCGTCTGACAGCGACCACAGAGCCACGCGCGAAACCAACGCTCGTCCACCCCATACCATCCCAGCTTCTCCAGGAGACGGCCATGCTCGACGCTGTCAAATGCCTTGGATGTGTCTGCCGTCACCAATGACGTCACGCGTCCATTGTCCACGTTATCGACGGCGAACGTGACAGCATCGAGCAGGGCCGCCTCCGTGGAGAGTCCGGGGCGGAAGCCATACTGTTGGTGGCACAGAATGTTATGGCTCACGAGGTAATCAGTGAGCTGCGTGCATACAACACGCTCACAGAGCTTAGAAACGACAGGCAGTATTGACACAGGTCGGTAGTTGCTCGGCACATCCACGTCACCACCCTTATGCAGAGGAACAACTACAGCGGTCTGCCATGCCAGTGGCAGCTCACAGCGCGTGATGCAGCTGTTCACAACATGCAGTATGTGCGGTCCGGTAACACTAAAAGTCATTCGGAGCATCGCGATGGTTATGCCGTCAGCTCCGCTGGCCTTTGACGCCCCCATTCTCTGAAGCGCTGCCGATAGCTCCGGCAGCGTGGCCGGCCGCGGGCTGAATGCCCCGCTGCAGACGCGCGGCGGCCTAGGGCTGAGCGTCTCTCCAGCATCCTCTTCTGCCAGGGCTTCTGCCACAGCAGGACCGACGGTTGCGAAGTCCCGTCCGCTGACCGGTGCTGCTGCCTGGGTTGCTCCAGAGGTGCTGCCGGACCCAGCCATTTTGCCGCTCTGCTGCCCGGGTGCTGTGCGACCTGGGGTAGCGTCTCAGTTGTACATCGCCTGGGCTGTGGGGAACGAGATTTGTGCCGCGGGTTGGGTGGTCGGAGGTGCCTCGGGTGTGGTCCGAGAGCCACCGGCGACTGATTCCGCCGTTCACCATTCTTGCGTCGGCCGGCCTCGGGTAATTCCGGGACGTCCGACGTGGGAAACCCACGGCAGCCCTGTTTGGGGGGAACCAGTGGGTTTGGGGTACTCGAGTTTGTTCCGGGCCCCGGGTTAAGCGAAGGGATTGCCGGCCTGACTGGTATTAACGGGGCACAAATACAGGCACAAAGAGCGACACACTTTTTACTGCTGAGGCTGGACGGCGGGGTCGTCGGATTCTCCGACAGAGCGGAGCGACCGAGCACAACAATAGCATGGCTTCCCGACTAAGAAACTAAATTTATGAAGATGACTTTACGCAATAACGCCGACTCCGATCCCTCCCGAAACTGTCGACTCCGACTCCGACTCCGCAGCCCTGCCATGAATGACATTACCGCTGACACTACCACATCGACATCAAACCCCACGCCACTCAATAACTGACGGGTTTATTGACCTCCGGTCAAGCACATCGTTTTGAAGCAGCGCGCACAGTATTGTACACAAAGTACTTAACACCCTTCCAAGTTCGGCTGCTCAGTGCATTCTCGGCAGCGATCGCCCTCTCGCACGCCACCTTTCCAGGTATTTCCAGCCTGTCCAGGAAGAAGGACAGCTGCCACCTGACCGCGGCTTTTTCTTCATCCGACTGCATGTACTGCGTCATAAGCGTAGGAACCATGGGTGCAAGGGTGCAGCTGCACCCACAATATTTATCCAGTGGGTGCAGACAATGTATTCTGCACCCACAATAATCTGAACCAAAAACCCCTTTTTCATCAACACCCTTTCATTCCCATGCAGCACGGCAAATTCAGGATATGTTGCCTACTATCCATCTTTCGAAGCATTTGCTACTGTGATCAGTGATGGTCTTCAAAACCTACATTTGTGCTGAAAAAAGGGAAATGGAGCATGTGATTGAACACATACCGAACCGATGACCCACTGTCAAAAATTTTAGCCCGATATCTTCGAAAATGGCTAAATTGGCCGCTTTTACTTTTTGCGGTAGTCAATATTGACAATATTAGCCCTCGAATGTGTGCAGCGTTTTCCAGCTTCTAATGT